GTTTTTGGAATGCTGTTTGTTATGTGCTATGGCTTTACCCGCGCGGGGAAAATTGAGGTGCCCACTTGCCCGGTTATGTGAGAATGACAAATGTGGAAGAGTTGAGGTGCCTACTGGCCAACTGTGTGAGGACGAAAAAATGTGGAATTAAATGTAAGGCTGTGCATTGTTCTTTGAAATTGGAAAATTAGTATCCATTGGGTATCAGTTATGATCATGCATATTTTAAATCAAATATTTATATACGTGGTTAAATATATTCTCTACTGGGCAATTGTGCATTCATATCTAACAACTATTAGGACCTGGAGAGCAGCAACTACCCCAATGAATTAGAAGTGATTCAATCTTTTGTTTTTGCTAAGGACATGATATATATGGAGCATAGTGCTCCCAATGCAATTATTTTCTTTTGGAACTGAGAGTCCTTTTGTTTATTTGACAGCTTTGAATAAGAAATTGTAAGCCGTGATGCATTTGTTATAACTTCCTCTAACTCGTTGAACTGTGAGGATTCATACTAAAATTTGTAACTGTTAATCAATAGTTCAATGAGAAAGAGGGCTTTTGGAATTGATATTGTAGATATTTTGGTATATTGTACATGTTGTATTTGATGTCTAGTTGGAAGTATTTTGGGGGCGTTACAAAAGTGGTCATGCCTGTGATGGTGCCGGCAACTCAAACCATCGTGCAGTTCTTTTCTTGTGGAAATTGGTTGCGATCGCGAGAGTGGCCCATGAATAGCTTGGTTGCACCCATGACCATCTTGTTCACGACTGCAATTGTGTATATCGAGCCCGCAATGTCCTAGCCTATAAAAGGCAGCTAAGTGTGCGAAATATTTGTTTTAGCTCTCTATCTCTTCTCTTTCTACTATTGCAATTCCTACCTTTGTTCTTGGGCTTCAACCTTGATTTTTGGAGCATTTAGAGTCAGGTTTGATCTCCAACCCAAACATGTTTATTGTAGAGCTTGGCAAGGGCTTCAGTTTAATCTCGGCCAAAAGTTGATTTGAACGTTTGTAGTTGGTTTTACCGTCTCCTCTTCTCTTCAAGAGGTAGGGTTCAATTTCATTAATTCAATATGAGTTTGTTAGTGTATTTGTGGTAGTTTCAAATGAAAACAAGCATGTTGTTGTTGCTGATTTGGAAAAGCATGATAGAGAAGTTAGGGTTTGGTGATTTGGGTGTGTTTCCTCCATTATCTCTTATCAAACCTAATTTTGCTATATCAAATTGCATGAGGAAACTTTATTTTGAGAAAGTCCCAAATTGTGGAAAAACCATTAAATTTGAGGTTTTGGGAATTTGGAAAATTATTGTTGGGTTATTGAAATGGATGAGGTTGTGTTGCAATATAATTCGAGAAATTATATATTTTTGCATTGGTCTTCTTGAAACAACATGGTTTTAATTGAACGTTTAGGGTGAATCCGGTTCATGTATAGTTGAGGTTGTGATTGGTTAATTTGGCATGATAGTTCCTGGTGGACCGAAAACCCGCGGGTTGCAGGTGTCAAGGTCCTTTTAGTTAACAACCGGTAAATTTGGTGGGTTAGAGACGACACTTAGCGATGGTCACTGGCAGAGTATAGCTTCATATAGTGCACTGGTTTAGGTGATTCTTAGTGATGACCACAGGTAGATACATGCATTTGAGAGGATTCACCAGGTCTTAGTATTGATGATAGAAAATGATTGAATTAAACAAGACGTCTCGGGTATGTTATATAGAATCATGATCATCTATACTTGTGAAATTGTACTGGTTTCTAAAATGTTCTCTACTAGACTATATGTTCACCCTACGTGGCTAAAATCTTTTTTAGGTGTTGATGGAGTGCCCCAAACTTGAGGCTAAGCACCAAAATACGTATTTGAGCTAGAAGAGCTCATTTGATTATCAGGCCTTGATCCCTTCTTTTTGTGTTGCTCGAACGCGGCCTATGTAAAGGGTTACACCCTTATTTGATAAACCTTAGGGCATTTTATAGTGTTTTGTACATATTATGTATGTAATTAAACTATCTCATGTTGTGGATGATGTTAATATATGCATATATGAAAGATTATCCTTTATTTCAGTATATTAATGTCTTTCATTTATTATTTAATTGAATTATTTGTATGAGTCAGATCTTGAAAATCTGGGGTGTGACATTCATACTCAACTACATTTTCCTTGAATCCATCTTTCTTACATTCTATTTTATATTAAAGTCAACGATAGACAATGAATAAGACATTTTCAAGCTATTTTTTATTAAAAAAATATATGTTTTTCGTTCATATTTGTTGTTTTTGGTTGATGGATTTTTGAAATCTGTTCAAAAATTCTGTACCAAACAAATTACATTAATTCAAAAACTTGTTTATTTCATATATTTGACATTGTATTTCCAAATTATTTGACACTGTTCATTATTTAATATCTGAACAAATTGTTTATTTATATGTTTCCAAACATTAATTTTCTAACTTCTTCATATTCCTGTTCTGAACAAAAAGTATTATCTAGTATTATATCTCCAAGCAAATTATACAAATTATATATGTTCAGAAACTTACTTTCAAATAAACTCAATTTTGTTTGGTATTGAGTATTTGAAAAAAATAAAAATATTTAACTCTGTATTTTCATACATTTAAACTTTCTAACTTCTCCTGCGATTTGTTAGACCGGCGTCGGGGTGGGCGATGATTCGACTAATAGCAATGATGTGGTGTGGGCTCTACCATGAGATGTTCAGTTTGCTGATCTTAGTTTGGGTTTGGGTGGTTTGGGAGCCTATTTGATTTGTAGGGTGTATATCTTTTTATGATTTTTGAGGATATAATAGATAGGAAAATGTTACGGTGTGCATTCTTTTAAAAGTGTTTAAAATAATACAATAAATTTTAAATTTTAGATTAGGGTGTCCAATCAATTTTTTGAAGTGTAAATAGAGGCACCTTTCTTATACTTGGTCTTTAAAGTTTTGTTTTTTTTTTTCCCCTTAATTGAGATAAATAATTTTTTCTTATTCCTTATTTTTATTTTGTCTTTTCTTCTTCCCCCCAAAATACAGTGGTTATTGGTTGAATTTTAGGACTAGTAAAAAAAAAATTCTTATTGGTTTATTCTCCAAAACATATATAGGGTTGGTTTGGGGTGTCCTAAAAAAGTGTATTTTTTATCTTTTTACGAAAAGATGTGCAGAAAAGTAGAGAGGTGATGTGATGAAAAAAAGATAAAAAGATGGATTATATAGTCTATGCCAAACAAGGCCATAGATATGTTGATATAATAAAATTTAAAAAATATAAGTTTGTAAAATATATATATATTTAAAAATTATAAATAGTAAGGTCTAGTTTGGAAAGACTAAATAAGTGTACTTTTTGACTTTTTATGAAATATGGGTTGGGTTTGGTTTGGGTTTGAAGTGATGTACTAGAGAGGTGATGTGACTTAAATAGGATGATGTGATTTAAATAGGATAGTGACTTTTTAACTTTTTTATCTTTTTTCAATCATGCCAAACTTGACCTAAATCTTTTATTAGTCCTTACCTTCTTTGTACGCGGATGATACAATAAGGAATACGTGAATTGACAAATTTTGTTTGACTCAATATGTTCCTCTTATGAAAAGAAAAAAAAAAAAACTAAGTGAATTACTGAAAAAATATTATTATATTTATCTCAACAATATTATATCATAATACTACGCAAGAAAAATCATAATTTTAGAGGTTATTTGAGGTGTCCTAAATAAGTACACTTTTTGATTTTTTATGAAATATTAGTTGGGTATGGGTTGGATTTGAAATGATGTGATAGAGAGATGATGTGACTTAAATAGAATAATGACTTTTTAACTTTTTAATTTTTTTAAATTATGACAAATAAGATCTAAATTAACTGGAAAAACCCATATCCCGATTAAAACTATAGACCTTTAAAAGAAAAAATTTAATTTATTGTCGAGGGTAATGCTCAATAAGATATGCCTCACAATTTTAGGGGTTATTTGGGGTATCCTAAATAAGTACACTTTTTAATTTTTTATGAAATATTAGTTGGGTATGGGTTGGATTTGAAATGATGTGATAGAGAGATGATGTGACTTAAATAGAATAGTGACTTTTTGACTTTTTAAATTTTTTTGAGGATGCCAAACTTGTCCTTAATTTTATAAAAGAAGTAATACATCGCTTAAAATATTTAATACTTCAAAATTAAGTGTTCGATATTTAAAAATTAGTTAAGAATCCGATATAAATAGTATATGTCTTGAAGTATTCGATACTTCAAAATTAAATATCCAATACGTATCCCGACATATTTAAAATGGCAAATTATATTAAGTCCCCTCAAATTATCGGTTATTTACACTTTACCCCCTAATGTTTAAAACCTAATAATTACACCCCTCAAACTATTTGAATTTGAACATTAAATCCTTTTATTAGTCATTAGTTAGCTATTTGGATGAATAATTATCAAGTGTTGTGCACATGATGATTATATTAAATTTATACAAAAGATAAAATAAGATAATTTTGTCATAAAATTTAATATAGTCATCATGTATACAACACTTGACAATTTTTCATCTAAATATCTAACAAATGACTAATAGAAAGATTTAATGTTCAAATTTAAATAGTTTCGGGGATAATTGTTGAGTTTAAAAAATTAAAAAGATAAAGTGTGAATGATAGATAATTTATGGGAGTTTAATATAATTTACCGTATTTAAAAAATATCAATATTCAATATGATACGTCATCAAGTTCATACACTATTTTTCATTCAAACTCACCATAATGGTTGTGGTGTTAAGTCGACTTGTGGTCACAAGTTGACAGAGAGATGACTACAATGTCCAAAGTTGATTATCACTTCAAATGACTAAAATGCCCTAAAATATAGGAAAAATGGCAATGGAATGGATGAGAGAATCCAGTAATCTTATCCTGTATAGTTCCAAAATACCAATACAATACCTCTTGACTATTTCCCACCAAAAAACACAAAAAAAAGTAATTAAAAAAAAATAAAAATGGCAACAGTTTTCCTCTCAACTGCAAAAACCTTCCTCCCAACACTTCTGTCCACTACATCATCATCACCATCTTCTTCATCTTCTCTAACACCACCACAATTAATTCTTGGTAAAAAACACAATGCAAGGACAGAATTGAGTCTGTGTAAGGCAGTGACTGACTCACAACAACCACCTTATCCTCCAATTCTCACCAAGAGAGGCCTCTCGATCTCTCTCACTACCTCCTTCTTATCTTTAGTTAGTAGCCAAGGCTGCTCTGCTGCAAATGCAGCAATACTCGAAGCTGACGATGACATAGAGCTCTTGGAAAAGGTGAAGAGGGACAGGAAGAAGAGGCTTGAAAAACAAGGAGTCATCAGCTCATCCAACAAAGAGACAGGTTGGTTAATTCTGTTCTATATATTTTGAATATTACCCACTTGAAAAGATTCTTGCTAAATTTCATTTTTTCTTTGTGATTGGTTGGAATTTGATGAATACCCAATTGAGAAAAATGATGATTGAGGTGATGGAGATGATAGGATTTTGCGTTGTGGAAATATCTAGGAATGGGCTGTGGACATGTGGCCATGATTGGGCCTTTCTAATTGTGGTTCAAACACTTCAATTTTGGGGATTTTATGATCTACTTTCAAGTGCCAAATATGAACAATTTAGAATAGTGATACCTAATTCTAATGGTGATTCAAGCATCATGCTGTGCCTTTTTAAACTTGATTGATCTTAGTGGACAGCTTAATGGGCCAGTAATTTTCCATCAATAAGGAATGGATTTATTCTAAAAGCATTTTTTATGAATCTCGAAGTATTTTTAAAAATTTGTATACACATTTCACATATTTCAATATACATTTTATACGGCCATCGAAACTAATGGCAATCTCTTTTGAACTATCATTAGCATTTTTCTTAAAACTTAAGCTAGGAACTGATGCCACTTGTATTTAATTTCATAGTGTTATAAGATTGTATATTGGTTGGAGACGATAAACTTATTAAACAAAGTAAGGGCATCTCTAATAGTGTGCTTATCCCCGTCATTTCAAAAATATAGCAACTTGTCCAAAGATGGTGTCTCTCATGATCGGCCACAATAGTTGCCAAATAAATTTATGTTTAGCTCCATGTGAAGAAAATATAATAAATGAAATTTACACCATTGAAATAACTTCGCCAAATTATAGTATTTTGCATACTATAACATGCCAGCGACATGAGTCTGGTATTGCCAAAATGGCAAAAACCGTTGGAAATGTTCTAAGTTGAATTCGAGTTGCAGCGAAAAATGTCCAGATGGCATCAACAATTTTGACCAAAAAAATAATAAATAAAAAAATACAGAAAACAACATTATGTCTGCTTTCAGTTTTGCATCTGCTACATTGCAACATAGAGTAATTCAGCTCAAGTGTGAACCCAAGGCAACTCAAAAATAACTGGACTTTGTACTTCAAGACCACAGTTTTTTTTGTAGGACACAAAATCTCAAAACGAATTTATTTATTTTTTTCTTTTCTTAGTTATTATGTGTTTTTGAGTTAAACAAGAGTTGGTTATTGTTTGGATTGCTCAGTTGGATTCTTTGGATTGAATTCTGACAATGCTTCCATGAATTTTTCTAAACCATTATCTGGCAGCATATCTGCAAGATCTTGTGTACAAGCTGAGCAAAGTAGGCCAAGCCATAGAAAACAATGATCTCTCTGCAGCAAGCTCTGTTCTTGGTCCCAGCACCGACACAGATTGGGTCCAGAAAGCCAATGCAGCCTTCAAAAAGGTCTTCTTCTAACTGATCTAATACTGTTGCATACATTTGCTCAGTATGTTCTTTGTTTGACAACTTTGGCCTTGTTTGGGAAGTTGGCTATTTTAGATTTTGGCTATTTTAGTAGGCTAAAATTTTTGTGTTTGGAAAAATGGTTGGATTTTTTTGTAGTTAGATGTGATGTTTGTGAGAGAAAAAATAAAATGATTATGTGTTTGATGTGACATTTTATCTTATTGGTAATTTTAGTCTATTTTGTTTTTTTGTGAATTTTGGTCCAAAAAAAGCTAAAACCCAACTTGCCAAACAATATTTTTGTGTTTGTTAAATCTTTCTTGAGTGTTTTTCACTGCACATCTTGAACAGTTGAGTTCTAGTCCTGAGGAGAAGAGTCAGGTGGATACATTCAACAGCTCACTAGCTTCTTTGATTTCATCAGGTTAGTTTTCTATATATCATGAAAGTTTGATTTGATACTACTAGACCCGCAGTTCATCCCCTAACTAAAAGTATTGTTCACTGTGACTCAACCTAATAATTGGCTCTAACCCAAAAGGATCTTTACAATGGAGATATTTTGCATGGTTTTATAAGTTCATCTTAAACATTATCAGCAACTGATGTAAGTCAATAGATAAGGTGACACAAAATCAAATTCTTCCTTAGTCATTGGTCCTTTTTTTAGTTTTTGATGATCGGGTGTCCGGACTAGCTTATCTGCACCTTAGACTTTGGTCCCTTATATTCTGATTGTAATAATTAAGTTCTTAGATTTCAACTCATGTTTCAATGCAGTTCTTCCGCCACTCATTGTTTAAAATTTGATCAGAAAGTCCTCATGTGAGGGCCACTTGAGCACGCATACGAAAAATTACCCTATGAACCATCTGTCTTTTACTCAAATTTCACTTTTATCCATCATATTTTAATTTTCACTCAAATTTGAAATGGTGGAATGATGAAAGAACCATATTGAACGAGTTAATTGTTGCAACTAAAAAATAAGGAACCAAAATAAAATTCCCGTTGATAACTAAATTAATTAAAAGTAGAAAAACATCCAATTTAAAAAAATTCAAAATAATTTTTTAATTTTTTAAAAAACAGTTAGTCAGATTTTGAAAAACAAAAACCGAAAAGGAGAACACAACCAAGAATTGTTGAACCCATGAACAGAATGTGATTTTAAAGCATATGAAGTAGCTAATATTTCTAAATTTCTGCAAGACTAATCTATGCTTTTTCACATGACAGTTATTAGGAAAGATGTTGAGGCATCTAAAATAGCTTTTGTTTCATCGGCAACTGCATTTGAGGAATGGACAGCCTTGACAGGGCTGGTTGGGCAGCTTAAAGGGCTCTGAAGGAAATGGAAAACTTTGATATTCTCTTTCCTCCTTGTTTTAATTGATCTGCAAGGAAAATTTCTGTACTTCTCTCCTATCTCTCTCTCCCTTATTTTTATTTTTTCTTTTTTCTTTTCAACTGGAATGCTTCATACTTTCCAAAAAGTCGGTAGATAAGTTTCTATTGGCTGCTTATCAGTTGTAAACCCTCTCTCTGTTTTTCTTTGTTTTTTTTCTTTTTCCAAGTTGGACTTTAAATTAAATTTGTTGGGGAAAGTTGCACAAAAATGGTACCAAGGAAGGAATAATTGCAAAATAAGGCGAATCTAAAATAATTGCATTCGATATGGAAGCACATTTTTATTTTTTATTTTTTATTTTTTTCTTTTTAATGGTGGCGCTAATAGTTCCCACCTTTTTTGAAGGATCCCTATTTCTTTGAACCCCAATCATAAAATTTAAACATTGATAAAATTTATAAGGACCCCACATAATACCAAAATTATCCCTCATCCAAAACATTACATTTTTTTTTTTTTTTGATTCATTTGAAATTAATCAAACACGAGTTCATAGTACAATTACATCAGGGCAAAGGGATAATCCCTCACAACACTAGTTGCAGTCATATCATCTATGACCAGAGTTCTAACTTCAGCGAGGGGATCTTCAAGGATCACTACATGTTCATCCTGGGCCACTCCCATGTTGGCTAACTTGTCCGCAACTTTGTTTCCCTCTTGTAGTGTGTGGCCAATTGAATAGTTGCACCTTTTCAGCAAAAACTTTGCATCTTCAATGAGAGCCTTATAGGGTGAGTTTTGTCTTGGGACATGTTGTATTTGATTGATGGCCTGTACTGAATCAGATTCAACTTCCACATCTCTAGAACCTTTTTGGAAGAGGATGGTAAGTCCTCTATAGATAGCCCATATCTCTGCCTCCAAACTTGTGCAATGTCCTATCATGCCATAGTAGCCCCACAGCCAAGTACTTATTTCATCTCACCAGAGTCCACCATATCCTACCTATCATAGGTTTCCTTTTGAACAACTGTTTGTATTCAACTTAAGCTTACCTGTAGTTGGAAAACACCATTTAATTAGTCTAGGTAGAGAAGGATGAGGGTACAGAGGGGATTGAAAAGCCTTATCAATCTCATGAACATATTCCCCAATGTTCTTGAGATTGGTTTCAATTGGGTTAATTGGATTATGAAAAACCAATTTATTATGATCTTTCCAGATCTGCCAAAGAGTAACAATAGAAACATGATACCATTTTTCCCCATAAAATAGTTTTTTTGTTTTTTATATTAAAAGACACCCAATCAAATACAGGCTGCTCCGTCATGACCCAAACCTGCCCCTATAGGTTTAGCGTCGTAACCGGCTAGTAATCCTAAGATTACCAAAAACCTCAGAGACAAATTGGCAAAATAAAGGGCTAGCGAAAGTAAATATCAAACATACAATGTCCATAGAGCTGTGCAAACTTATATGGGACAGAAAATTTAAACTTACATTCACATATATTTTGACATCATACTAGTGTTAATACATCGTCACAAGTATAGATAGAAGAAAAAGGGACTTAGCCCTATATACAAAATAAACAAAAGACAATAAGAGCTTAAGACTTGATCACAAAACATCTTTTCAGGAACCTCTATGTGAGGCACAATGGTTGGCTGACAGAACAAAGTCCAGAAAGAAGCTCTAGACCTGGTCACGTGCCTAATCACCTACATACATAAATAATACAGTGAGCTGGAGCATAGTGAATAACAACAAAGTAAAGGTTTTTAATGAATGATGTCCATAACAGATTCAGAAACCAGAATTCAGATAAAAAATAGATGCATATACATAGTCAGATTTTGTAAACAGTCATATGTGGTAGATCCATTAGTTAACAAATCAGATTGGTCATAAAGACCCACGTGCAAAGTAGTTGGTCATATAGATCCATATTCACATAAGATGGTCATTAAGACCCACGTGTAGAGTAAATAGATGATAATGTATAATCAATTCCATGAATGGAACCCACGTGAAACCTTGTTACCAGGTAACATATAACACATGATAGATTCACATGATGCTAAGATGCCATGAATACATTTCAGAAAATTGGACATTCATTCATGATTCACGAAATAGCATTTCAGAAAATAGATCATATCATATCAGTCAAAAAACACTTATAGTCAAACATAGCTTTATAGAGTTGTTACTCACAGATAGTTCCAGAAGCAGATCAGATGAATCAGACAGATCAGATGGACAGTGGCGCGTGACTTACACAAATACGTGACAGATACACACTGAAACACACATTCTGTATTTTGCTCAACCCAATTTAATTCCTCTTAGTGTGTTTCTAATTCTTATCGTCGTTATTATGGCCTAATCCATAGCTTAAGAATGCCTAAGATGAAATAAGGATGCAATCATGCACTTCGAAACACTTGACAAAATTTCAAAAAATAGGGCCGTTCGCTCGAGTGGACTCCTCAGCCTGCAAAAGTTCTAGATGCTCATTTTAGGCTCGAGCCAACTTTTTGGTCACTCAAGCCATGAGCCTAACAAAGGTGAGTACGCTCAAGCGAAGATTTGGTTACTCGAGCCAACTACACTATCTGCAAAACTTTTAAGAGCTCGTAAAGTGCGCTCGAGTGAAGAGTTCACCACTCGAGCGAACCCTACAAACTATGAAATTTCTAGATTGTTGTTCAAGTTGCAAACCTCAACTTTAAAGCATCAAAACTCATTCTTTTGAGCCAAAACTCAAGAAAACACTTAGAAACTTGTATAACATCATGATTTGAAGATCATTTTGCAAAATCAAAGCCCAAAAGCATGCCAATTATTCAAAATTACACTTGAAACTCCATATGTATTACATGCATGTAATGGTATGGATTCTTTTGTCTAAAATCATGAACAATTAAGATGAAATGGTATGAAACATGATAAATTTTCAAAACAAAGCTAGAATAAGTACATGTATATGAGAATCCTTTGGAAATAACTTCAAAATGTGATGAAATATGCATGCATGTATGGATTGATTGGCAATTCTACATTCAAAGCTCAATTCTCTTGTTTAATCAGTTAAATTTCTTGAATTACATTCTTGATGACTCATACACTTAATTCATGCGTTGAATTCTTACCTCTACTCCTCAATTGGGTTCTAGATTGTTGATTCTTTGAGCTACCAAGCCAATTCTCTCAATTTCTCTCTTCAACCTCCTCTTTTCCTCTTGAATTGAATTCTCTTCCTTCTACTCTCTCTCTCTCTCTTTACACATTTTTGCTCAAGAAGATAAGAAAATGTGATGTCATAAGCTCATACATGCCTTTTATACTTGATTAGTGTTATCTAATTAAGTGTAATTAAAGTTAAGTAATCTAGCTCAAGCTTAATCAATTTATTCTAATTATTTGGTTCCGAATCGAACTTTAATTAAGTTACCCTAAAATTCCAAAATTTCTAAATGACACGTTGACCTAATCAATTTCACGTTCAGATGTCGATAAGGCCTTCAGTTTTTGTACCAAAATTTAGATAGATATTCCTACAGTAGACGGATATAAATTCAAATAGGATGAAAAACACACAATTAACATATAATTTCATTTAACCCCTTAATTAATATTCTTAATTACAGATTAATGGCTAATTACGGATCGGGGTTGTTACATGCTTAGTCCTTTCTTCCCACTAATTGTTGCTTTGGATGTGTACCCAAATATCTTTGGAAGTAACATGGTCTCTAAGTGCTTCATATCTTGACTAGACTGGCCACATCTGGGACATAAGTCAGTAGAAACCATATTTCTTACAAGGCGCAATTGATTGGTCATCAGTCTACCTTTTAATATAAGCTAAAGAAAGCATTTCAATCCCTGCCATCCATATCAAAATTAGTAATGAGTTTATAAATAGAGGCAGCAGTGAAGTTACCACAAGAGCAACCAACCTGGGCAGGTGCATCAGTGAAGGTTACAAATCTAGGCCTATAGATCTTGAGAATTTCATTAAGATCTTGTTGGTTAACAAGAATGACTATCCAATCAGTGTCCTAATTACCTTCATCATCCAGAATTGAGCTTACCTTATCAGAATCATTCACTTGGTAAGTGTTGTTCATCTGAGATAATGGCTGTTTTCCACACCACCAATCATTCCAGAGGGATATGTCCTCTCCATTACCAACAATCCATTTAACTCCCTTTCTGTGGACATCTTTATTTTTACAAATGCTTCTCCAAATGTGTAAGGATCTCTTCTTCATAGGCCAAGTATAGAAGCTATTGTGCTTCAGATATTTGGAATAGAGTACTCTACACCAAAGTTTGTTTTTGTCACTCAGAATTTTCCACCCAAGTTTGGCTAGAAGAGCAGCATTTTGATCTCTGGTCTTTCTAATGCCTAATCCTTCATCATCTTTGCTTCTACACACATTGTCCCAATTGACCAAGTGAACTTTCTTTTGAGTCTTAGTATCACTCGAAAGGAAATTTCTATTAATTTTATCAATTTATCACAGAGTTTTCTAGGAATTTCCATGGTTTTCATGTTATAAATGGGGATGGAAGAAGTGACTGATTGAATGAGAGTGGTTTTTTCTACCAAGTTGAGGTTTCTGGCTTTCCGTCCTGATAGTCTTGCTTTCATCTTTTCAAGAGTTTCATTGAATAATTTCTTAGTGACTTTCTAATGGAGCAAAAGAGAGCCTAAGTACTTACCAAGGCCTTGGGTTAGGGGGATGCCACTTTAAAAGCTTAAAGACTTAGTAGAGTTCCTAGGGATATTGGGGAAAACAATGAGTTTAGACCTTAGATGATTGACTTTGTAGCCAGACACCTCACAAAATTCAGAGAGGACCTCTATAATGATTTCATAATTGGATTGGTAATCTTGTGCAAAAAGGATAAGGTAATCAATAATGAACAAGTAGGATAAGGACAGACTATTTCTAGATGCCTTGATGCCTTTACAAGAGCCCTCTTTAACTTTACAGTTGATCATATTGGATAATATTTCCATACAAAAGACAAAAAGGTAAGGTGAAAGAGAATCTCTTTGTCTAAGGCCCCTTTTATCATGGATTCCTTCAATAATTTCACCATTCCACATGATGGATGATTGACTAATGGAAACACAACTCATAATCAAATCAATCCAATTGTCATTAAGCTTGAATTCTGTTAAGGTATCTCTGATGAAGTCCCAAGATAATCTATCATAGGCTTTCTCTAAGTCAATCTTAAAAATCATGCCACTCCTTTTACCTTTCTTGTACCT